CTGTTTTTGTGCCAGTACCACACTGTTTTGATTACTGTAGCTTTGTAGTGTAGCCTGAAAGTGTTAAAAGTTTTTCTGTTTTTAAATTGCCCATAAGGGGCTGTGTTTCTAAAGAATACAAAGAATGCATAAATCATAAGTGGCAACAACTTGATGACATTTTACAAAGGGAACACATGCGTGTAAATCCACCAAGACTGAGAAATAGATTGTTGCTGACACCCCAGAAACCTATATTATGACCTTAACTACTCATTATAGTTGAAAGTAAAACACTCCTCTGACCTATGTCACTATATATTCATTTTGCCTGTTTTTCAAACTATACAAACAGAGTTATCAATCATGTATATATTCATGCCTGGTTTCCTTTACTCAATACACTGATTTGGAGATCTTTTTATATTTGTTGCATGTATGGAAATTTGCTTGTTTCGTGGCTATATAATATTCCATTATACAGATACCACATTTGTATTTATTCCTTCAACTGTTGATAAACATTCAGACTGTTTCCAGTTTGTGACTATTTCTAATAATGCTTCTATTAACATCCTAGTCCATGTCTTTTGGAGAACATATTTATGCATTTCTGTTTGATACATACTTTGTGCAGAAGGCAGAATTCTATGATGATGCTCAGTGACCCCTCTCTTTGTATGATCTACTTTCATTGAGTGTGGATGGAATCATGGATATGATAAGATCTCACTGCCATGATTCTATTAAATTATATGGGGAGTGTAGGATTTGGTAGCTGTAATTAAGGTCATAGATAGTTGATCCTAAGACAGAAAGATTCTTTGGGGTGGGCTAGACCTAATTAGGTGAGTGCTTACAAGAGCCTAGGCCTTTGCTGAAAGAGAGATTTGAAGCATGGAGAAAGGATTTGGAAGGGGCCATTGGATGAGGAAGTGCGGGGAGCCTCTAGTAGATGAGCGCTACCCCAGGCTGACAGCCAGCAATGGAATGGGGGCCTCAGTCTTCCAGAAGCTGGGAACTGAATTCTGCTAGCAACATGGATGAGTTTGGAAGAGACTCTTTCCCAGAGCCTCCAGAGAAGAACACAGCAAGTCCACTGTCATCTCACCCTGTTAGGCCCTGAGCAGGGAAGCCAGTTACACTGTGCACAGATTTGTGACCTACACAACTGCGAGCTAATAAATGAGGATTGTTTTAAGCTGCTAAGAGTGTGCTATTGTTCCACATCAATAGAAAACTAATATAGGTTTTGATACCTGGATGTGGGGTGCTGCCATTGCAAACTCCTAAAAATGTGCACATGGCTTTAGAACCCAGTAGCGGGTGAAGGCTGGAAGAATTTTGAGGTAGGTGCTAGAGAGAGATTAAGTTATCTTAGAAAAAGCTTTAATTGCCTTGGATAGACTGTTAGTAGAAATCAGCTGAATTTCCAGACTGCTTTGGAATTCTAACTCTTTTCTGCCTTCCGTGTCCCCCTAAATTAAACCAGAATGTTTATATCTGTTATCCTATGCCTGTCCTTCCATTGTGTGTTGCAGGAAGGTAGTTTGTCATTTTAGTGTCACTGGTCCACAGTTGGAGAGGGATTTTGCCCGAGAAGTTGTACTGCATGGATTGTATTCAGGAACCTCATGCATGCCTGATTTAGATGATTGAGGTGATGAGATTTTGGACTTTGAGCCGATGAGATTTAGATGAGCTTTTGGAATTGAGCTCATGCTATAATACCATGAGAAATTTGGAAACTGTGAGATGAGGTGAATGAATATTCTATGTGGGACAGACTAGCTTGCTGGGTGCAAAGGGGAGAACTCTAAGATGACTCCTAATGGTCCTTGACCTTATATAATCTCCTCCCTTGAAGTATGAGAAGAGCTTGGTATTATGATGCCATATTGTTCTTGTAATTTGTTACATTATATGGGAAAAGAGATTGTGCAGATATATTGAGGTCCCAAATCAGTAGACTTTCAAATAATGAGGTACCCTGGGTAAGTCAGATCTAATCAGGTGAGACCTTAAACTGGCCAGTGCACTTCCTAAGAGACTCAAGTGTGAGAGAGTATATGGAAAGATCAATGTGACAAGAAACTGGGAAATTTCTAGAAGCTAAAAGGTGGGGGGGAGGCATACCACATGCTTAGAATACATGAGGTCCTGGGTTCAATCCCCAGTACCTCCATTAAAAAAAATAATAGATTTAAATAAATAAATACACCCCCCAAATAAATTAATTAAAAAAAAAAGCAGAACAGCATTCTGCCAATAACTTGAATGAGCTTGGAAATGTAACCTCCTGAAGAGCACCCAGAGAGAAACACAGCCAGCTCTCTTAATTAGTTTGTGTTGCTATTAACAAATTACCATAGACTGAGTAGCTTAAACAACAAAAATTTATTTCTCATGGTTATAGAGGCTGGGAAGTTCCATAGCAAGGAGCCAACAGGCCTGCTTCCTGGTTTGCAGATGCCTACTTTCTTACTGTATCCTCAGGTACAGAGAGAGCTCTGTTCTTTTCATTCCCTTATAAGGACACCAATTCCATCACAGGGCCCACCCCTATGACTCATCTAATCCTAATTACCACTCAAAGGCTCCACCTCCAAATACTATCAAACTGGAAATTGAGGTTTTCACATGTGGATTTTAGGAGAGACATTCACTCCATAGCATGGGCCAAATGATTTCTCAGGCTGATTTCACCCTGTGGAACACTGAGCAGAGAACCCAGCCATGCCATGCATGGACTTCTGAACTTACAGAACTGGGAGCTAATAAAAAGATGTTGTTTCAAGTCACTAAGTTTGTGGTAATTTGTTAAGCAGCAATAGAAAACTAATACAGATGGAGTTGCTGGGTTATAGAAAAGACATAAATTCATTTTTAATAGATGCTACCAAACAGTTCTCCAAGTGGAAATGATTGCTGTCCCTCCTTTGTGACTTCACAGTCATTCACGTTTTCACACCAGAGGCTCCAGACATTGTGGAGCAGAGAAAAGTAATTCCTGCTCTACTCTATCTGAATTCTAGTTCTACAAAATTCATGAGCATAATGAAATAGACATTATTCCACAACATGTTATTATGGAATGGTGGATGACCAGAACAGATTCTATTCATTTGTTCTTCATTTAAGTCCATCCTGTACTTTATCAGTATTTCATTTTACATGTTTCATTTGTATTCAATTCCTATTCCATCCTTCAAAATCTTGGATTCTGTTTTTCATTCCAAATTTCATTTCATTCTTTTTATGGTATTTTTCAATTTATAGTGCATGTTTGATAGTCCATTTATTTCAGACCATTGCATATTCTACTCCATACTATGGTCACTCCTATTTTGATTTCCTTCTATTTCCTTTAATATTTTACTTCACCTTATCCTCCATTTCATTTCTTTTCTCATATAACATATTTTTCTTTTCTTCCATATGCCATTAGATATTTCCATTTTGCATTACATTCCATTTTCCCATTATATTCCATTCATCTTTCCATTCGATAGCCTGTTCAAGTCCAATTCCATTTTATTCCAATTTCCACTAAAATCAGTCTCAATTTCTTTACATTCTGCATTCCATTTCAAATCCATTTTCCACTCCATATTAACACTTCAGATACCATTCCATTCTATTTTTGTTGTGTCTTAGTCAAGTTGCTCATCCATTCCACTAAATGTCCCAATTCATTTGGCCAAAATTGCTGTAATAGCAACTCTCAGGAGAACCACTTACCAAAATTTTTATCAAAGAATTACAGATGTGTATGGTCTGTATCAAAAATTTCCTTTTCTGGGAATTTATCCACAACAAGGCCACATTTGAGGATAGTGACAATTTTTAGTAAAAAGGATTATGTCTTACATTAATGTGTTATAGAGTGAAAAGTTGGAAACAACATAAAGGTTGATCAATACAGCAGTATTTGAAAATGTAAGCTTCCTCCATAAAAGGATTATTTTGTAGTTATGCAATGGCCTTGGGAAAATATATAGTTATTAACATGGAAAGTGTGTTTTCTGGATACAAAAAGCAGATCACAAAACAATGTATGCATAAACAATTCCACTTTTATAAAACCAAAGAACTATGAATTATTTACAAATGGCCATAAATATCAAAAAATAATTAAACATCCCCAGTACTTGCTTGTTGGTGTGTGGGAATTTAGGTTCTAGTTTTCCTACATTTGTTTTTCTGTTTTGGGGACTAAATATGTGGTAATAATGATTTTTGTAATAATGACTAAAAACTAGTGTCCAGATATTGAACTTCAAGCCTTTATATCAAATCATGTTTATATTAACAGAAACTAGAGAGCAGATCAAATAAATTAATGTACGTTCACCAGAGGATTACTATGCAGCCTATATAAATGATAATGCATCTTTAAGGACAGCATCACCTTTAATCCCAGGCAATCCCACTCTGTTCAGGGAGCAAAGCAGTGGGAATTACCTTGCTGGAAAATTCAACACATGGCCCCCACCACCCCGGCCTCCCCTGCGGTAGTGGCAGTACATTGAACATGCCGAGCCAAGACCTCGGTGTGGGCCCCATCCATTTGCTCGCTTTTACACTGCTCTCCAACCAGACCTCCCTGTGGGGACATCTATATGACCAGAGGAGTTCGGGGATTGTCCCCTTTAGGGTCACAGATATGGGTCCAGCGACCGAATCATATTCCAGGAGGGCCCACTAGCTAGTAGGGGTCGAGCCCCCAGAGTGGTGCTGACAGGCTAAGCTGGTGATTCAAATTGATTATAAAACTGCCTCCCCCACCCCCTCTTTCGTAACACACACACTTGTAGGGGCCCGGGTAAGGATGCGGAATTCACAGCATTGACGGGGCCACGCCGAGCTGGGTGGGGCCCAGAGATGTGGAGCACACCCTCCTGCTGTGCGCTAGATGGAGCCAGGGTGGCCCGAGCACCACGAGATGAGGGTCACATGACATCCAGTCCACCAATCAGAAGTGAAGACTCTGGCGGGCCCGCCCTTCCGCCTCACTCCTCGCGCCGAAAGCTCCACTGAGGCAGCATCTGCAGCCGTGCTCTCCGGTCCCTGAGCGAGAAACTGTCGTGATGGCCACCCAGTCTTCCTGTGAGAAGCAGAAGCCACAGCAGGGTGAGGTGCCCGCAGGGCCGAAGAACGAGGTCGCCTCTGTCCCTGGCGACACCCGTGGGACCCGCAACCCCCATCCCGGCGCCTCGGTCTCCACAGTCTCTAGCGACCCGGCTCCGTTAGTGGGTGGCGCCCTACGAGGTGGCCCAGCAGGTTCCTCCTCCTGCAACGTGGCTGCCGCA